TCTAGATCGAAAAACGGCTGCGTTGGCAGCGAACAAGTGACGTACGGTCAGCGTTATGCCCGGAAAACCGTGTGTGGTCACTACCTAGGTACTCAATTCAGTTAATTAGTCGCGTTCGGTCGTGTGTGTTGGAGCCACATATGTGAGAAGAGTCATGTTGAAGAATTTCTCATGACGACACTCCAAGCTCGGATCGTGTGCCGTTGCATCGCCGCCATCCAATTTTACACTGTTCATGTCAGAAGCGGTCACGCGACTTCTGACATACCTCACTATGATGACGCTTCGAGGATATTGACTGCGTAGACTTACCATGTGTTTATAGTGGCGTTACGTTTTAGTAATTACAACGGTCGGTAATGCTTTTGACTCGTTGGAAGTATGGCCTCGATACTGAATTGCGTCCGTCTGGGCAGATAAAATGGTGAAGGGAAGATGATGGTTTCGCCTTACAGAGTAGACTAGCACGCAAGTGTCGCAATAGCTATGTAATTTGCGAGATGCTTAGAACATTCGTTTCTAGTGCCCTGCCCATTATTCCGGTGACGACAAGAGTCTCACGAGCTATATTGCGGGACATGATGTTTGTAAAGGCGAATGATGACGCATCACTGTCTCGTGACGAAGTGAGTGAAACAGATGGGAAGCTTCACAAGCAAACGGCACGAATAAGCGAAGAGTACTGAAAATGCATTTGAAATCACGCGAGGCTTTAAGCAAGAAGCACACGCGAAAGTATCATACGGAAACGGGGTGGGGGGAATCGACAGGCCTGAGCAAAAGCGCGATACATCAAGCTCGCTCACTGCTCACAATGGTAGGACCATCATCGTCTCTACGTCGAGAGGTGCGATCAGGACCCTGGCCACGACCTCCTCCTCCTCTCCCCCGCCAAGGCATGCCTCCGCCTCCGCCTCCACCACCTCGTTTCGACCTCCCATCTTGTCCACCGCCACCACGTCCGCGGCCAACCTGGAATTGTATCCTAGTGAGCGGCTGTTCGACCCAGTCAACGCCCTTCAGACCCAAGTTCTGCTTCTCCCAATCACTGAGCTTCCAGGCTTGGTAGAGGCCCATCAAACGTTGTTGGTCTATTTCTTCCTTTCCGGGACCGACCGTTCGTGTCAACTTGATACCTCGTAGTTCGGGTACCCATGCTTTGATGTATTCGCCGTGCTTGTCGTAGTCGAGTGCTTGTTTGACGGGGTTGAAGACGCGGCCTTGCCGTGGGTCGTTGCCGACACCGGCGACGTATTGCCAATTGCCCCAGTTACTAGCGGGGTCGTAGTCCACGAGGAAGCATTCGTACCACTCGGCTCCGACCCTCCAATCTATGTTCAGGTGTGACGACAGGAAAGAGGCGACGTTTTGCCGCGCGCGGTTCGACGTGTACCCGGTGACGAAGAGTTCGCGGTTTGACGCGTCGATGAGACCGACTCCAGTGCGTCCAGAACGGAACCGTTGGAAGGATTCAAGCGTCTTGGCTGGATCGTCCCCAGCACCACCAGACTTATCTAGTCGTTTCCACTTCTTTGTTTGCGACTCTCCCTTGTTGCCTTTGGTACCGCGATCTTGGATGCCGTATAGACTGAACATCTTGTGTCCAAACTTTCTCATGCAAAGTCGCATGTAGTCTCTCCATAACAGCTCGAAACGTACAGCTGCTGTTCCGGCATTCTCACCCTTTCCGTAGCCAGCTATCTTTTCGCCAGGGCCACGCCCTTCCTCAAAATCGAGCATCGACCAATGGACCTGCCTGGCGGTGATGTGACCTTGAGCAAGGTAGGCTGAAAGCTTGGTGCTGAAATCGAGACCAAGCATGCCATTTCTTGTCTCCTTGTAGGAGCTCATAGCCCCAGAGCTGATGAGATGTTGTATGCGATTCAGACCAGCAGTTTCTCCTCCCGAGAAAGGATGCGCTGACTGAGCATCGGTGGGCCATTGTGGTGGCCAGGTCAGGGTATATGTTTTGTCGTGCTCAAGTGGAGACATCAACACTTTCTTCAGCTTTTCCAAGGACGAAGGTATGGTAAATGGTTGTTTTTGGGGTGGTATGCTCGGCGGTAGCGGTGGAAGTTGGGACGGCGTCGGTAGAGTTTGGCGAGGTCGATCGCGCAGTGGTTCGAGTCCTTTCCGGAATGAGGTATATACATTTGGTAGGTCGGAGATCTTGTCGTAAGGTAGATCGCGACTGTTGCGCGTTAGCATACTCTCCCAGACCCAGAGACACACGTTCCAGGCAAAACTTACTCGTCTATGTAGTACTTCTCGTCGGCCCAGGCCTTGAAATCTACTCCATGCTCCTCTGCGAGTTTCTTTACGCTGTCCACCTCTTTCTTCTCTTCTGTGTTATCGTCGGCGGTCATCCAGATGCCGCTAATCTTGCCCTCGTGTTCGCCTTTGGCATACCAGTCGAGTATGTCGGAAACCACCTCAGGCGTTCTGCCCACGCGCATCTCCAATCCAGAGCCGCAGTTCAGCCCCGCGATCTTTTCCTTGAGATCCCACACGCCATCCGCTATGAATTGCACGCGATGGGGTCCTGTCCGCCATACTTTGGCCACCTCACTGCGCGCCTCAGGATACGGGCTTTTGTCGGTTGGGGAGGAGAGGAAGCCGGACACTTCGATTTGGTTGGCGGGAAAAACGTATACGGGTAAGAGGTGCGTAAAGTTTGCGCCGCCGTGTTCCGAGGTCAACGAGTCATCGCGGTGCCGTTTGTCACCATTTGGAGAGTTTCTCGCAGAAGTTGGGCGCGCGGCGTGGAGGGAGGCGGCATGGAAGGCAGGATTGTCTGAAAGGCGGACGTCGCGACTGAGTACATAGAGCAAGATGCGAGGAATGCGGCTGGACATAATCGGAGGCTCGTCGTCGGCAGCACTAAAATTGCGAGTGCAACAATCGGAACAAACAAATAAATCGCAGGTGTTGCACGGCGGCCAGGAGCAACTACGTCGTAACATCAAGGTCACGATTCATAGAAGACCTGGTAGTGGAGAGTCGGGAGCATTGCGGTGCCGCAGGCGAAAGAGAAGCTTCAGGGCCTGTGGGACGTCATGACCCTATGAAGGCGACAATGGGGCTCTCACCGAAATTTCTAGGGCACGAGGCCGCTGGACACTAAAAGGTGCCCTAAATGTCATCTGTCAGCCATATCAGGTATTCTCCACCGGAAGGGGTACAGATGGTCGAAACTGAGGAGATCCGGTTCAAGATTGGTGATGCTTGCTGCAGCATCGCCAACCAGGATTATGACGTGAGGGACGGCCTAGCGCGCCGCCACAATTCGCTATGGCCGCTGCAGGGACGCAAAACGAGCGACTTGGGGACGGGCCGAGCGTTCGTAGGGAGCGTAAAGCTGGCGATGGTCGTGCTGTCATGGAAGTACGGAGCGATCGCGAGACGTGCATTGCATGCGCCATGCCGCGACTGGCTAGCGACCACCTGAGTTCTAGACGGTTCGGCGCCCAAAGCAGCCGCGCAGGGACCGCTAATCGTTCATCTTAGCAGCGTTGATCGTGCAGCTTGATCTCGATATTCGTCGATTCGGAGCGGAAATCGTGTGCCAGGTACCGCAAGGGGCACGTGGCTGCGACCCGGCTCGAGGTATGACACGACACCTGGCATGCTCCGCTCCCAGCCTGTCCGATGTCTCGCCGACTCGCAGACCATAGTCAAAGACTGTTTAATGCAGTGCCACCTCGCTTGCCCTCTACACTGTATTATGCACCCCATCACCAAGTGCTCGTAGTGATGAGCCTGCAGCATGTGTATGCCGCCGTTGCATTCGTGGTCCAATAGCTGCGAGTTTCGGATAGAGTGGTCGACTGAGCAGGGTCTCACAGACGTGTGCGTCGATGGAAGGGGAACACTCTTGCTGGTGATCGTGGTTGAGCCATGTGTTGGGCATGGGCCGCGCCATCTCGTAGGAGAACGGCGATAGCTGGGTGAGCCGTAGGAACCTTGGAATGCACAAGCGCGCCAAGTCTCTAGAGAACCAGTCTTCCAAAGCCAACATGATTTGCCATGAAACGCCCAGGTAAACCATCTTAATGAAGATACATGGTTAAAGCTACGAGAACGGCCAGTTCAACGGTTCACAACTTCACTCCTTCACCCCATGGGTCCAGATTAGGCCTAGCGCGACTGTGAACCACTCCTTCTTTATCGTATCCCAAAACTGTAAACTGCAGGCAACCGGAGCCCGAACATGCTGTATCTCCACCATCCTGCCTATTAATCTAAACAAGGTCTTACACCACACTGGAAATCAAACCTACACCAAGGCAATTGATGCATGCCTAGTAAAAATGCCTCACACAAGGCACAAGGTAAAGCGTTCATGATTGCGGGCACCAATAGTTGCGGCAGCCGTAGCAGTGCCACATAGTGATTGACGACGGGGAAGCATCGTTCCCCCACGTACGCCAGAGGAACTGCGCCACTGCGGAAACAACAGGCATTAGAAGTTCAAGTCCAAGTTGTACCAACACAAACACTGCTCGTATGACTCCCGGTAGTGATAGGCTTACACAGAATATGCGCAGTTTGCACTTGTTCAACAACTTGAGAACGAGTCCGATCACTTGGGTCAGCCACAGTCTATCTTGCTATCATTATTCAGTAATATATATTCAAACAGGACGTCTTTGTTTACGGCATATGATTATGAGCCTAAGTCAACGCTATTGAGAGGCAGACTGCTCAAATCAACTTCATGTTTGCCAGTTGATCTAGTTAGACAAGACAAGGTTTCAGCAAACGACATCAGAGTAACGAGAACATGCTCATTACATCAAGTATGGCTAATCATGTCTGACAGTCTCATCAATACGTATACATTATTCCACCACAGACACTCGACTGATCCCCTCCAACAGCCACGAACGCCCCCCAAGCCTCCCCTCCACCATGGCCTGATCATCGTTCCATCTCCCCCCCACGCCACCCGCACAGCCCGCACAGCCCGCGTCCGCCACATCTCCGATCGCGAGATCCAACTAACAAACCGTCCGATACACGCCATCCGAGCTCGGCCTCTGCGCCTTGTGCTTATGCTCCTTCCTCAATCCCTTATTAGCATGCGTCTTCTCGATACTCGGGCTGGCGCCAGGCTGGAACGCTGCAAGATCCACCGCATCCGTCTTCATCAGCATCTCGGTGACGCCACAGATATCCGTAACGAGTCTGTCGATCATGTCAAGTGACAGACTCTCTCTGACGACTACTCGCAGGATCTCGGTCTTGTCTTCGCCGGGCGGGAGGGGGTAGTTGGGGATGATGTATTGCTTGGCGCGGAGCAGGTTGCTGACTGCTTCCTGCTTGACGTGGGGGAAGTCTTTGTGGAACTCGTCGGTGAGCGTGAAGGCTACGACGGGGAGACCGGCGTTGTAGTCTGCACTTGTGTCGCCTTCGTCGAATTGCTTCTTGCCCGCCTCGTACTTGAAGTCGCCCTTCTTGCGGTGGATGTCGCTGACGCAACGGTACCAGCCCGTGTGCTCGAGCGCCCTGCTCAGTAGCCGTGCGTTGGCCAACATGTTTTCCATAATGGCGCGGTAGCCAGAGAATCCCAGATGGATCAAGTTGTAGTACTGCGCGATGATCTGAGCTCCTGGACGGGAGAAGTTCAGAGTGTATGACTCTTCTGTTCCACCTAAGTAGTGGAGCTCGAAGATCAGGTGCTTGGGAAGGTAGCTTTCGTCTCGCCAGATAATCCAGCCAACGCCGGCATAGACGAGACCGAACTTGTGTCCACTGGTGTTGATGGATTTGACTCGCGGCAGCTCGAAGTTCCACTTCTTGCCAGCCTTTGCGTGGGTGAAGGGGGCAATAAAGCCACCAGATGCTGCATCCACATGGATGGGAATGTCGTTGCCAGTCTCCTTCTCGAAAGCGTCCAGGATATCGGAGATCTCTTCGACAGGCTCGTAATGTCCGGTATATGTGGAACCAAGAATGACAAACACACCGATAGTGTTCTCGTCAATGTTCTCTTTCACTAGCTTCGGATCCAAACGGTAAGACGATTCCTCGCTTACAGGCAAGATACGTGATTCAACCTCAAAGTACCTTGCAAACTTCTCTAGCGCGACTTGTGCGTTGGCGCCCATGATGATGTTGGGGTTCGAAGTATCCTTGCCCTCTGCCCTTCTCTTCTCTTGCCAGCGACGCTTCATTGCGAGTCCACCTAGATGAATAGCCTCACTCGAACCAGTAGTCGCTGATCCGATGGCTTTCTCGCCCTTTTGTGCTCCCCACATGTTAGCAATGATAGAAACACATCGTGCGTGCATATCCATCATTGCGGGGTACTCGTCAGCATCCGACATGTTCTTCGACAAGTTCTCGATCATGAGCTGCTCGGCTTCCTTCTCCATGTAGGTTCCAACGAAGGATGCCAAGTTCAAGCTTGGGCGTCCATCCAGATCCAGCTCATCCTTGAGCAACTGGTGAACAACATCCGCTGGAGCACCATCCTGGGGAATCTTGAATTTCGATAGCTCGGTACCAGCGGCATAGCGACTCGAGTATGGCGTAATGTGTGATGTCGCCCGACTCGAAGCTTTGTGGCCTCCAGCCTTGTGCATGGGGTGGTCCTTCAGAGTCTCGAGGAGCTCATCGGTGTCAACGTGTCTAGCGAGTCCGGCCATGGTGATGAATGTTCGAAGAAGGTGATTATGTTAGTACAGATTGGAATTGGAACAAGTTTTGTACGTATCGGGCAGAGAATTCTAGTCTTATACGAGTGTTTGCTGGTACACGTAGACAGCGTACATGCGCATGACGACACATTACGTCCGTTGTCGCTCGCAGACACACCGGCAATGCAGCAAAAACTCGAACATGCAGCCCAGGCAGAACCCAGTCTGAAAAGCTTGACATTTGCTTGGTAAAAAGCTTGTTTCTGGCAGTGAAAAGGCCCCGTTGAAGGCATGGCAGCCAATGAAGGATGCATTTCCGCGGCCCACTGCGGGTGTTGGCTATGTGCTCAACCGGAGAACCGGCAAACAAAGTAACAGCATGCGCGTCGGCTTCTGGTACTGGCTGATCTAGCCTCGTACCTTGCAGAGAAAGCGCAGAGCGAAAATAACGCATGGTGACGAACCGGCGTTGTAGCATTAGCCGGAAGCAAGTAGCCTTGATGTGTTTGTGCTATTGATGGGTCGATGACGAAACCCCTCCGGTGCTTCGTTTCGCCGACAGCGCGTCATCACGTGATGAGCCAAACACCCCAAGCATCCCATGCGTATCGGATATTGGAGATTCCCAGCGGAAGTGTATACACATCCGCTAGAGCATCCTAAAGATCAGATCTCAGATCGTAGACTTACCCGGTTGAAGGCTACGAAACACTCAAAGTTTCGGGTGGTGAGATGGATCGGTGATCATGACGTAGTCACGTCGTCGCCATCCAGCACATCCGCCTCCGCCGTGGAAACGCGGGGAAGATCGACTGACGCGTCCTTGACAGCCTGGTACGTACAGCACGCGGCCGCGAGGCCTGGACGGTGCGTTGGAAGTATACCTTGAAGCCGGGTGTTTGTACCTAGGTATACGAGTGAATACGAAAGCGAAACTGTCCAAACATTGCTGCAGCATCTTCCTCTTTCCCATCCGGCACAATTCTGGTTCGTTGGATTCGTCCGCCTTGTAGTCCGACACCCAAACAAGCGGGTCACTTACCGACGCTCCGCCCCCCAATAACGTCGCCACGCAGTGGTGTTGTAATCGACTCGGCTTACTCTTTAGCTTCGCTGCCTAGCTACATCTTACCTGCGTTCCTCTACCACTTTTCACCTATCCCCCGATTCCCCATCAATCACTAAGTCACCATGCGGTTCTCACGCGTTGTACCAGTCTTGCCTCTGGCAACTGCATTTGTCATTACCGAACCGGAAGTCTTCTCCAACATCAACATCGAGAAGTCTGGAAAGCAGTTCGTCGATGGCGCTCACAATGTTTTTGACAACGCCCAGAGCGTGCTTGACGATGCGTTCAGCAAGGTCAAGGACGGTGCCAAGGATGTTTACAGCAAGATCCATCATGCTGGCGCCGACGTGGAGTCGTGGTTAGAGGGAAACCAATTCGATGACAGTGTCGTTGACTTTGAGGACCCTCATCACGGACACGATGGACCGCCACACCACGGCAAACCTCACCACCCTCCGCACGACCAGAAGCCGAACCGCACAGTCTACGAGCTCATCAACGAGAGCAAATACACTACAAAGCTCGCAAAGTGGATCAATGAGTTTGACGACATCGTCGAGGCGCTCAACAGCACAAAGGCAAACTACACCGTTTTCGCCCCCACAGACGAGGCATTTGAGAAGATCCCTGAGCACCACCACAAGCCCTCCAAGGAGGTTCTGAAGGACATCCTCCTGTACCACGTCACCGACGACTTGTACCCTGCTGGCCGCGTACTCAAGACCTACACCATCCCAACTCTCTACCAGCCCTCGAAGCTCCTTGGCCACTCCCAGCGCCTAACCGTCCGCGTCACGCTCAAGGGCCCCGCAATCAACTTCTACAGCCGCCTCGTAGCCGTCAACATCTTCGGCACCAACGGCGTCGTCCACGGCGTCGACTCCATCCTCGTGCCTCCCCCCAACGTCGCCTCCATCATCGACCTGCTCCCCGGCGAGTTCAGCACGCTCGAGCTGGGTCTAGGAAAGACGGGTCTATTCGACAAGATGAACAGCACGGAGTACGAACACAACGGCGGAACTTTCTTCGCCCCCAACAACTTTGCGTTCCAGAAACTTGGTGCGCGCGCCAATGCTTTCTTGTTCTCAAAGTACGGCGAGAAGTACCTCAAGGCGTTGCTGAAGTACCACATCGTTGTTGATGAGACGCTCTACTCGGATGCGTTCTACGATGGAAGGAAGAAGGATGACAAGGATTCTGTTCAGGAGCGTCCGGGAGGCTACCACTACGACATGCCCACTGCCCTTTGCGGCAAGAACCTCGCTATTGATGTCGGCCGCTACGGACCTTTTGTTGAGATTAGGATCAATGGCTTCTCGCGCGTCACTGTCCATGATGGTGTTGCTAGCGATGGTGTCATTCAGGTCGTCTCTAACGTCTTGATCCCACCCAAGACCGCTGGTGGCGAGCAGGTCTTCTGGAAGGGTGAGGAGCTCGCTGTCGAGGACCTCAAGGAGCGCCTTCAGCCTCTGGTTGAGAACATGGAGTTGTAAGCAATGACTTCATAGGAGCGTTGAGTTTGTATGTTCTTGCAGCGCGACGATCTTTACGACATATTCCTTGTATAATAGCCTTGTCTTCCAGCGGAGCAGGTACTTCACACTAGCACGTGTATGATTTGAATAGCAAATGAACGAATTGAGACAGACATCGCGCTTACTACCTGCTGCATACGGTGATGCTGTGAGATCTCATTCTATTGTAGGACCCAAAGACGCAGTGTCTATACCAAACACAAAAGCAAACTGAAGAGTCGTGCAGAGGAGGAACCCTTCCTAACAACAAAAATCTACGAAAAGTCCTCGCCACCCTCTTCAATCGTGTTCTTGACCCGCAGCAGAAGCGTAGTCTTCCACTTGTCGAGCTTGCTCAGCTGATCGAATTGGAACAACTATCACGCGTCAACATAATGCATACTTGGAAAGCATAATTCCTGGGAAAACATACCTTATCGGCAAACATCTCCTGATCGCCTTCCTGCACCGCACCTGCCAAGTCAACGAGTAGCGCGTGCTCCCTCTGTTGCTGGAAGCTTGGATCCAGCTCCCTGTACCTGTCAAGCGCAGTGTTGACGCCGACCTGGTCGCCTGTGCATAGCTGGCAGATACCAGCTTTGAGAAGGTACTCCTTGACGGACCAGCGCATGAGGTTGTTGGAGATCGAGGTCTTCGCGACCTTCTCGTAAAGCTCGATGGCTTTGTAGTAGTCCTTGCCTTCTAGGGCGACGAGATCAGCGGTCTTGAGCCAAAGCTTGTTGGCGAGTGCCTGTGGGGGTTGGTTAGCTCTTGCCAAAAAGTTGGGTGTTGGATGGATTACTTCAGCGTTGTCCTAGAAAGAGGTCAGCATATGATCCAGACAATGATGTGATGTACAACTTACGCTCTCGTACCAACCAGCTGCTTCCTCGTAGGCGGCTCCGGCTCGGGCGTTGTCACCAAGCTCGACTTCGTAGAGCTCGGCAAGGTTCTGCTTGTGAGTGGCTGCACGGCGGAAGTTGCCTTTGGCGCAGTAATGCGCAATGGCTTTGTCTAAACACCTCGCTGCGGCTTCTGGGTCATCTTTGCGGTAGGCCTCTGATGTCGTGTTAGTTGGAGCTACACCCAACGTGAAATAGGAAGCCTACTGAAGGCGTCTGTGAGCGTGTTTGCTTCGTCATCAGGCTCGTTCAGGTGCTGACGTTGTACTGATGCTGCCTTTTCGAAAGCCTCGCCTGCCTCCTTGCCTGAAGTTCGTTAATCCTCAATATCGCGTCGTGTTGCAGGATACATCTGCCCATACCCATCTTTTGCATGCGGAACGCATTTGCTGCAGCGATAAACTGCTCTGCGGCTGCCTCATCTATCACGTGCGTCAGCCAAAAAGAGCACATATGCCGCGGTCTGTATCATACACTTGTCTGCCTTATTACTGAAGAAACTGAAGCCACCGCCTGCCTTCTGCAGTGATGTTTCTGCCTGTCCACCTCAATATCAGTTATCTGCTGTGTGGCTGAGTCGTGAGTGTAGGCCCCACCTGTCGCAGCAGCGCTCGTGGATCGCCGGCCATGTTCGCTGTATTTTCTGGAGTTGGTGGTAGACGAGGAGGAGAGGGGATGAATAGAGTATGTGACTGCGCAGGCAGACGTTATGTTGAAACTTTGGTCGAGACAGGTGGCTGCACTTGCTGTCTCAATGCGATGACGACCCACGTTGGTCCATGCGAGGGCTGTGACCTCGGCGGCGGCGTTACCGTATCCGCACTAGTGTTTGCAGCCGCCTCGAGCTTCACGACTTTACATTCACAGCAGCGTTGCTCGGGTCTCGCGATAGAAGCGGAAGATCGTCGTTATATCGATGCGCTGAAGTATCACACGGTCTACAACGAAAATCTCGTTCCGTCCCAACCAACGTCCTACCCCGCCTCGCGCATCAGATTCATCATGGCGGCACGTCGCGCGTTTGCGTTCAAGAAGTTTTGCAAGCCTTCCCAATACCTGCAAATACGCTCCTACACGCCCTCACATGTACGATCATACGAGGATCCGTGGACGGAGGAAAAGCCGGCACAGAGGAAGACAGGCATCCATCCCGACGAACTCGAAGAGCTCCTAGCAAAGCCCACCTGGTCCGTCGAGTCCCTACTACCACCAAAGACGCGCGCTCCCGACGCCCCCCAGATTACCTCTCAACAACTACATCATCTTCTCCGCCTATCAGCCCTCCCGCCACCCGAAACGCCCGAACAAGAGCAGAAGATGCTAGACACACTAGCAGCGCAATTGCATTTTGTGGGCAAGATACAGGAAGTGGATACAACGGGTGTGAAGCCGTTACGGGCTATACGGGATGAGACGATGGCTGCAGAAGAAGAGCAGACAATCACGTTGGAGACGCTGAGGGATGCTTTGGATAAAGAGAAGGTTATAGGACAGCATCACAAGCGGCTTCAACGGGATACTACGCCTGTGGATGCGAAGGATGTTGAGGACTGGGATGTTCTGGGCTCGGCAGAACGCAAATCTGGCAAATACTTTGTGGTAGAAAGCGAACGGCCGCAGGAATGATTCCTCGTCATAGGTCATTCCAGACGTGTAGGTCACGAGCAACCAGTTTGGGGTAGCATCGTACCTGCTACGAGTTGGATACGAACAATTGTCGAAGAACGACTTCGTTTCTCTCCAAGGACACCCAACGCCAAACGCCCCAGAAGCTGTAAGAAAGCATGTTCAGGAAGGAACGACGGCTTCATGAGCAGCAAGAAGGAGTCGTGCTTGCTCGCGGCATGTGGGCTTTCATCAATAAGCCCAGACCAAGGAAAGATCAAGAAGAAAGACAGAGCCAAGAACCACAATGCCAGACCTAAGGCAACCATCACGAAAAGGAGACACCGAAAACCGTCGTCAAGTAGGAGATCACGCCGACCAGGGACATGCCTCCAAGCCACAATCCGTACAACGCTTACTAACATACGATTCCCCACCACAACCGCAAAAGGGCGCCTCGTCCAACTCATCTAGATCAGGCGTCGGCAATCGACCTAGCCTAGGTGTAGGAGGAGGCGTCGGTCCCGCAGAGGAGTGTAAAGCCCCCTTCGACTCCACCAGCAATTCTCGATTCGACTTTAGCTCTCCATGAAGCACCACAGTCTTCTCCCTTCTTTTCGACACTTTCTTGGCAGAAGTCACGTGTGTCACGTGTCTCTCACCAGGTCCTGCGGCCAACCCTCTCGGTGCGGGGTGAGATTGCTCGACTTGCTGAAGTCTGCTTCGTGGGCTTGTACGCTCGTTCTCCACGGGATACAACACGAAGTCGGCATATGTCTGGACTGGAGAGTCGACCTTGCGGACCGTCCAGGAGCGACGACGAGATTCCTCGATCTGGACACTGCGGCCATTGTGGTATGTCGTCTGACGGTACTCGTCCTCTTCTTGCTTTTGGTCCGGCATGGATGGTGCCTGGCGAGCGGACTGTTGTGCTGGCGACGACGACGACGGCATCGATGCAGCCAGTGTATGGGAAAAGCGAGAAGCGTGTTCGAAGCGATCTCGAAAGCCTTCTCAAGTCCTCCAAATTGGTTCCAAGGCCAAGAAGAGATGGTTTGGGATGGTTATGTGGAGAGGGGGTAGTGGGGAGGAAGAGCGAGGAAGGGGACTAGAGGTGGGTGGTGGGCGGTGCGAGTATATACAGTGCGCGAGCTGCCCGCCAAGCCTTCTCTCGCCTGACACCCTCCGGGCTCTGGCTTCCACCACTATGGCCCTCTCGCTTGCTTGCTCTTCTACAGCAATCAATTACCACGCTCGAGATAAGCTGGGAGGGACTGGATAAGTTCGAAAAGACAGGGATTCACAGGACTTGTAGTGCTCTGGTGCACTTTTGCACACTTCCGGATTGGGATGGTGGTGTGTCTGCTTGTCGAAGGCAACATGAGCTTCCAACACTGTAGGTGGGAGGCTTTCGAGTCTACGAGACCAATAGGGAGGCTGTATTCGTTCGATGCATCGGGTTTTGGGGATGCCTACACGGGGACCTTGTTGTCGCTGGCCGTCTCTCTCCAGCCCTCACGTATATCAATAGTATGCTTTTTCTGGATTGGTCGTGTAGGAATCCAAGAACTTGCCCAACGTCTTTTGACACGAATCTCAGTCTTTGCTCCGATCGTGATATCTGCATCAGATCGTGGTGGTGGTGGTACGGCTTCGGTGTACCATACCGAGGTATGCCATGACCCTCTTCCGACGAAGTCCTCGTAGGTATTTTAACGTCGCCCTTTTTTTTTTGAGATGGCCTATAAATGTAGTATTTAGTGTTTTGAGATTCAGATTCCATATACGACAACGTAAACTAGGAGTTTCGGAATTCCAATACTCACTTGCTAGTCATCATCCACAATATCGCAGTGTACCACCTCTCCACGCTCGCTATTCACTCAGGCCAACAGTACAAGCTGCAAAAAGGCAAAGAGCTAGATTGAAAGAAATGCACAAGGAAGCAGAGTACATATATCAGGCAAAGAATATCACTTGTTAAGCGAACAGCATGTAAGATCTCAGCAAAATACCGCCTAAGCAGTCCAGTCTTCTCTCCATCCCACCTACCCATCCTCTCTCTCAGATAAATAATCATACAAAACCCCTCCCACTCCCCACCCAACAATCCTCAACTAAAACGACAAAATGCAAAAAACGCCACTGGGTCGAGAACATTACCTCGACACCCCCGCCAGTTCCCATGCCATGGTATAAACGAAAGAAGCCCGAACACCATAATAACCCTTTCGTCCCGAATCCCAAAGTATGAGGGAAAAATGCCCCCAAAACGCCTGATCCTTATGCATCCATGCATGTTTCTGCTTCGTCAGTTGATACACATACACGCCGTTCTTTACAACTCCCACTCCCAGCCCTATCTTTTATTCCGGCTCCAACTCCCCGTCCAAATCTTCATCTGTATCTCCCTCCGCATCTCTATCCGTCCCCCCATCCGTATCCACATCTTCATCCGCACCCCCCTCAGCGTCTTTAGAGGAATTCTACTCCGCGGGTGGACTAGCCACACGCTGCTCTTCCACTCCCTCTTCTCCCTCGGAACACTACTCCCCGGGACTCGCCACACTACCCCCCGGCTCCACACTCGCACTGGCCCTACTCCTCTCCTTCGCACCGCCACCACCCAGACTGAGCTTGATCTTCTTCTTCTTGGGTGAATCGCCGCCGACATCATCGACATCTCTGTCACGCTTGCCTTCCCCTCTTTCACTACTCTCACTATGTTTCCGATCACCTATATCTGGTCTTCCTGTTTTTAACTTGACTTTCAACGTGCCGTTACTGCCACCACTCCCATTAGACGGTTTATCGCGGTCCGCTTTCTTGATATACGAGCTCTTCTTCTTCATCTTGCGGCGCTCGGGGGTATCGTCGGCGTCGAAGTCGTCTGCGTCGTCGGTGGCGGCGAGGCGTTTGACGGGGGAAATGCCCTTTGATTTACTGCTTGTTTTGGTCTTCTCGGAGGGGTCTTGGGAGCCAGGGGCGGGGGTGCCCATGCGGCTTCCGAGCGGCGTGTTGCCGACGCCTGAGCCTGTGCCGTTTTGACCAGTGAGTTTAGCCATGGCATTGCGCGAGGACTGGCGGCCGCTGATGCCGAGGCACTTTTCGAGGTGTTGGGCGAATCGCGTTATGAGTAAGCTGCGCTTGCAGTTGGGGCAGGTGTGCCAGGGGATGTACGAGGCTGGTTTGCCGCCGGTGTTGAGTTTGATTTCCTTGGTGTCGCCGCCGGCCATGTCGGTGTCTTGGGAGCCGGGGGTGCCCACGCTCTCCTTTTCGGCGTTCTTCTGCTGCTGCTTGATGAGCTCGCGTTCCTTCTTGCTCTTAGCCATGTCGGTGGGGAACGGGTTGCCGTAGACGTCGTGGCCGGATCGCTGGACCCACGGATACAGCATGCAGTACTCCTTGGTCAGGTCCGGGTTCTGCATGCCCTTGCCCATGATGGGGTGCATCAGCCGCGGCAGCTTGCAGTGCGGACATATGATCTCGGGCGTCGTCTTGAGCGGGTTGCCCTTGAGGAAGACGCGTCCGTTCTCGTACTTGGCGGCGGATGTCTCAGCGATGGGTATCGACGTGGCGCCCGTCGTGTTTTGCTTCTGCGACTGGGGCTCGAGGTTGGCGAGGGCGATGGATTCGGCCTGGGTAGCCGCCGACTGCATGCGGAGCAGCTTCTCGGAGCGATGGCACGACAGGGCCGTGGTGAAGACGATGTTGCTCAGCAAGTCGTCGAGGATGTTGGTAGTCTGCGACACGATTGTTAGTAGCCGAGGAGGCGGTTTGCGGCGGCCAGGCGTACCAATTCTGCCAGCGCGTCCGAGGGCAGGCCGACGGCAGCGTCGACGCCCTCGGCCTGGTCGTCTGCCGGGCGGTCCTCAGACATGACGCAGCTGGGCGTGGTGGACTATGGTGTTCAGGGCGTGGAGAAATGGTTGCTGAGACGTTAGCGGCCACGACGGGAGATATCGCGCATCCCTGCTCCGGCTCCGATTTAGCGCATGCAGCCAGAGTTGGCCTACCCCACACACCCACCCACACACCGAGAACTGCATGTTCACCCAAGAATCTGCGGTGGAGCTGCGCGTCTCCACTGATGCATAAGTGTGACTGCAAGCAATGGGTATCATTCAGAGCATCTATCCACGGCTATCTTGGCTACCTAGACTACCTCCCACCTCGCCAGCCTGCCGATGGTACTTCCCGCCTGTCGCACAATGCACACGCGATCCGATTTTGGCACGCCCGAGTCAGACCCAGGGGCGACCACCTTGTGCATTACCAGATTCGCAACCGCGGTCGGCATGCCCTCTGCGAGGTTGTAGTTGCCCGTTGTGACGAAGCCGATGAGATCCACTTCGTCAGGCACTAGAGGGTAATTCTCCTCGCCAGCGCTCGGTGGGCCGTTGTCTAGGAGACTCCTTGCAAGATCCCTGCGCTGGATATGATCTGGCTGCTTAACGACACCTCGACTCTGTTGCTTCGTCGACGTACGCTTCGTACCGGGTTGTGGCAGCTGGGCCAGCCATTCGCTTCGAAGTTGTGGGTCGCTAGGCAGTCGGTAGATGCGAGCGCAGTCTGTAGGAGTGCCCCGTTGGACCATTGTGATCTTGACAGTGAATACATCTGATGGCAACAACGAGCCGCTCGACGAAGCCGTGCCGTCAACCATACCAGCTGCTTGTCTGAACGAGAGCTGTCTGACAGGAGTTCGAGATTCTTGACATGAAGACACATCTGCAACCAACCTCTGCCAGTCGCAAGACCACGGATCTCCAATCTCGCCCTTCCTACCCTTACCAAGATCAATAGTCGACCATTCAAACCTCTTCCCCTTGGGACGCTTCGTCCACTCGTGCTTCCTCACTCCACGCTCACGCTCTTCCCAGTCCCAACCAGCCTCTGTACCAGGATGGTCGTACGGGAAGTGCGGCTTCGAGCGCTCAAAGTCCACCTGACGTCTCTCTTTCAAGCCGCCGAATCGGGGGTTGCCGCCTGTCGAAACCGGGTAGCGCATAATCTGTCGC